GACCAGCATCCTCCCCCACCAACGGAGACAACTCACCACCAGGTAGTGGTCAGTTGACAGCTCTGCCCCTCTCTTCACCTGAGTGTCACACAGGTAAAAACGCTGAGTCATTATTATTTTTCCTGTTTTGATTGTTCATGTTTTTTCTGCAGACTTTGTTTTTTATTCGTTTTATATTTTTACGTTATTTAACTTTATTTAATAAAAATTCTAATGGTTTTATTTCCTAAATAAACTTTGTTCTCTTTAACTTCTGCTTCAGCTTCTGGTTCTGGTTCTGTCTACGGCTAATTTTAGCTTCTTTAGCTTTTAGCTAGCCTTTTGATTTTGTATCTTTTAGCTAACTACTTTTAGCTTTAATAAGTTAGCTTTAGGTACTTCGGCTACTTTCAGCTGATATTCAGCTGATAGTGCACGCTGCATTTTCTTGTTTGGTTTGTTTTTATTCTCTGAGCAGAAACTCAGAGTTCCTACAGTCAGTGAACGCAGCGGATTACAGAACCATCATCATCACCAGAACCAGAACCCGCTTTGTTTATATTTGTTGTTTGTTTCTGAAGTGACGGAGTTAAAGGCCTAACATTACGTAATGCTCATGACGTCATGCCTGTGGCCTCTCAGGTTCAGGAGTTTGGGTGGAACTTTCTGTAAATTCTGATGAAGTTCTGAGAACCACAGCAGATGTCAGAACCGGGTCAGAACCACCTCAGTGCCTGCAGGCAGGTAGCTGTGGCCATCTTGAATCAGGTGGATCAGGTGGTCCATTAGGAGCCGACCAGAGGTGGGAGATATTTTACTAACACCAACTGGCTCCGCCCCCACTTTGAGCCCAACTGAACCCAGCAGTGAGTGACTGAATGAATGAATGAATGAATGAATGAATGAATGAATGAATGAATGAATGAATGAATGAATGAATGAATGAAGGAGTTTCCGGTCTCGGGCAGCAGCAGGGGGCGCATCTTTTTACTGCAGGAGCCCGAACCACATCTGGACCAGTCAGAACTTTAACCCTTCAAACAGCCCGCTGTCACGTGACCCGCTCCATCTTCATCTTCATCATCATCACCCCATCCCCGCACTGCGACCCTCCCGCTCCACTCACCTGCTTCCAGCCGAACCGAGCCGCCGCGGGTCCCGGTGCCGCCCACGGGTCCCGGTTCCGGGTTGCAGAGGTCGCTCCGGGTCCGGCTGAGGGTTCTCTCTGAGGTTCTGCTGATCCGGACCAGCTCGGAGCGGGTCCTGGTCCTAACCCGCTTTTATCTGGAGCATCCCTCCCTCCTGCTGCCAGTCCGGTCCGGATCAGCTGACCCGGAACCAGCCAACGGGCTGCCGAGGCAGCTGGCTCACCGACCAATCAGGGAGCAGGGATGCTGCGCGCGGGGATGGGAGGGGCCGAGGCCATGACGTAATGCTCCAAATTCACCTGATGACACGCACACGCATCATCTTCATCATTTGCACCTCTGGCTGTTTGAGAGACCAAAGAGAACCAGAACCAGAACCCGAACCAGAACCAGAACCAGAACCAGAACCAGAACCGGAACTGGAAGTTTGATTTGAACGTTACAAAACAAAGAGAAAAAACTAATTCTGATAAGTTTCTGACAGAACCTTCCAGAACCAGAACCAGAACTCGGTTCAAGTTCTAATTTAGACCCTAAAAATTAACTTCTAAAT